ATACCGGACTCGACAAAGCTGGTTTCATTATTGCATTCCATTTTAACCTATGGCATTCTTGTTGTCCTAAATAGCAACATTCTATGCAGAAATAGTGCAATCCGACGCAACAATAAAAACGGTCATTTCTATCGTGATAACATCTCATCCTCCCGTCGTTGAGCAGAACAAAAACAAACAGAAAAAGGACAAAAGGCAATGACGTAATCACAGTACCAGTTCAACAGATAAAAACGAGATAAAATAATAGCATTCTTTTAGCCAACTCGTCTGTAAAATTGGGTTAATGCAAATTATATATTATTGCGTTGGGTAACGGATTATCGATGATGACCAGATGGGAAGATATCGGAAAAAATGAGCGCGATCGAAACCAGTTCCATTGAACCCATTGCTAGAAAAAGATTACCTTCAACTTTTGACTTATTGGCTATCGATGACCTTTTTACATCTATATAAATAAAAAAGAAATGCTGTTTGTAAGCGTAGAACTCGAGAAGCGGTAAAGCTTTTAAATATTCGTAATAGTTTAATAATAATATAATTTTCTAATTCAAATAACTAATAATAGTTTAAAACCGTTTTTAATGCAAAAGCGCGAATGTGCAGAAATGTAGTGAGGGGGTTAAGGATCACATTGGCAAAATCTTCCACGATTTCGGCTTTCCAAGTTCTGTGAGTCCAGTTTCTATGTTTCTCAACCAAGATAGTTTCTTCCTGCCGACCTCTCTTCTTCAATCTTACCTAACCATATAAAGGCGACATATATAGGAAGTTACCTGGTGCTTTTCATGAGAGTGCGGACTGCCTGAAGGTGATCCACAGTACTATATCCACTTCTCAAACCCTGCCTGTTCCCGACGATAGAAGTCGAATTTGTTTGACAGGCAATTTGTCAGCACTTTTGTGAATATTTTAGAAGCAGAAGGCTGATGTAACGATATTAATTGTCGAGTCTAGTGTTATCACCCTTTTTGTGAATGAGAGAAATTGTTATGCTTTTGCCATGGCTCTGCATTCCATAATGTCTTATTATAGCTCGTCATCTTCAGAAGTTGTCCAATGGATCTGAAGATTTCGGCTGTTACCCTGTTCCTCCTGGTGTTCTGTTATTTTTCACCTAATAGCCTCTTATTTCTTCTTAATAGTCTATTTCAGGAATTTGTTAAAGACATTAATGACTGGGGTCTAGTGGGGTTCAAGTTGATCAAGTTACATTGCCGTCAAGGAAGTGCTGTAGAACTTTTCAATCAATCAGTTTGTTTTAACCTGTGGTCGAGACTAGTGGCCTGAATCTTTCAGTTGGTAAATTTTGTTTTTGCTTCCGAGTCTGTTCCTTCTAAGTACTTTCATATTGGAATTCTGTTCTATGCATTCCTTTATCATATACGTGCAGCAAGTCTCTAGTGTCTGCATGCATGTAGCCTTAGCTAATTACCCCTGTTCATTTCCATGATGCTCTTATCTAGCTCTGTCTCTCCATCATTAGTTGCTGTGTTTTACTATTTTGATTTCTGGCAACTTTTTAATCTTGGATGCGGTCTTCCTGGCATCATTTAGAATTCTGGGAGGTTGTTTGTTGGTACCAGATCATCCAATGTTGTTGAAGGAAGTTAAGAAGTTTTTCGCCCCTTTCGTTTCTTTGTCCTAGGCCATATTTCCCTATATATGGGCCATCGTCTTTCTCCCATTTGCCTATCTTAGCATTATAGTCACCGATAAGGAGGGTAAAATAATAAAATTACTGCTAATAAATAATTAAAAAAACGATTCGTTGCCTGAGGTATACTTGAAATAAAGTATATATAGATATTTGATAAATGGCAACAGCGGCGACTTCGCTTCTTCGTATGACAGATAACCTACTTCTTATTTCGCGCAGCCGCAAAGAAAATTGAAAACGGGACTGTCGCTACTCGTCGGTTTAGGTACTTTGAATTAATCTTTTCGGTCAACGATAAAACACCATTTTATCGTCTTGTATAAAAAATAACTATTTGTCAATTAATCTGTGACTTTATACGTGCCATGGATACACAAATACAAGCACTTTGTTTCATAAAATCCTTATGTAATGAAATATCGGTATTTGTCTTCTAAAAGTCGGTCTCTTTAATTCGGATTTTTTGATAATTGAACCAAATCTTGAATCCGTTTATATTCTGTGACCTCTGTCTAATATCAACCTTAAAATTAGGCAAAGTGAGCATTCCTCAGATAATTTTTAAATTAATATTTGGTTAAACTATTTTATTGCTTTGATTTAAATAGAAAAAGACATTATTTAAATCTGTAGACAGCACTGTTCTATATGTTTAATATTTGTCATTAAGATATTTAAAATAAAGGTAGTACATTGATGTTATTGATATATTTTTGTCTTGTTTCAGAAAGTAATCCTATATACATTTAAGAAGAGTATGGAATCAACATATTAGATTCGATAGGCAATCCTGCAAAATATAAAATAGGTAAGTTATTACAAATTAGTACCTTGAGCAATCTTTTTATGGACCTATAGTAGGTATTTAAATTAAATTATAATTAAATCTTATAATATAATAACCATATACGGTAAAAATTTAATGTGACTCATATATTCTCAAACACTTACGAATGATTATGGAGTAATAATAATTCTACGAATATTTATACTATATCGGAAATAGACAGTAACAACTCATTCATTGATATTGATCTTTTCACATTTAAAGATGAATATTAAAGTAAATAATAGCTTTAACAAACTGAAATTAGAATTCCAAGAGAATTCCATCTGTTTTACGGAAATCAATAAACACTTAAGGCCTTAAATGGTCAGATGGGAAAGGCACTACAAAGCCTATTGTTTAAAGAAATTTTAACTTTGAGGACATAATTTTATAAGACAAATAAATAATAATATAACAATAGAAATTCATAAATGTCGTAATCTTGATAACAAATAGTACAAGAGCCGGGTGCAAAAACATACAAAAGTTTTCTGAAGGCTCATATTTTCAAAATCGATTGCATTTTAGTGTTAAAAGGCAAAGATACCGTCAGCAGTTCCAGTTCCGTGACACCTGGTCCTGTGAAGGGCGCGCAAAGGTGTAATTTTAATTAACACCTCCAAACTGTTTTCTGAAGGCTGAAAATTTGTAGATTACATACGAATGCAATGTAAAGCAAAAATATAACAGTCCCACAGTAAAATATGGCTTAATGGCTCGAATGGCTTAAGTCGTATCTTGGCAACAGAAGGCAGCTTGTGGGAATTGATACTGAATGTCTTCTTGGAAGCCTATAGAATGTGGTGTCCCTCAGGGTTCAGTACTTGGCCCTATTTTGTTTCTGGTGTTTATCAACGACATTGCAAATCTAGACATTAGCGGTAAAAACTGCCTCTTTGCGGACGATACTAGTTTCACTTGGAGTGGCCCAGATGTTACGGCACTATATAATACTATATCCAGTGACTTACGCACCATTGGTGCGATTCTAATCTCCTATGCCTCAACCTTTCAAAAACTAAAGTTTTGTCTTATAAAAGTACTATACAACCTTTGTACTTAATAATATCACTATTGACGTCGTGGACTCTGAGATTCTTAGGACTTGTTGTAGACAACTCGTTAAATTGGGACTTGCACATCAAAGCTTTATCAAAAAAATTAAGCGCTGCCTGTTTTGCGCTAAGATCAGTTTCTAAGGAACTTAACTCATCAACCTTTAGAATGACCTATTATGCCCTTTTTGAGTCGCATCTTCGTTATGCCCTTCCATTCTGGAGTACTTGCTGCGCGACAAAATTTGATCGGATCTTCAAATTTCAAAAGAGAGCAGTTCGATACTTATTGGGACTAAACCCTTATCTGCCAACCCCGAGCTCAGAACTAGTTAAGGGCTCAATACTGTACAATGCCAAGGAAATGTACAATCATTTGCCTTCGAATATCAAGTCACTTTCATTCCTTCCCACATTTCGCAAGGCTCTGAAATCATACTTACTGGAGAGAGACCTATATGCGGTAAACGACTTTTTTGTTGTTTGACATTAGGTAAATTTTAAATAGTCTCGATCTAAATGTATACGGATATAAGAATACGGTAGCGTAGATTGACAACAGGGGGGGGGGGGGGGGGCTCGGTTCAATATTTTTCGAGCTCCCCTTTGTAGGTAGACGAATTTGACGCGAACTTTGCGGTTGACGGAGAAAACATATCTACGCTTGGCTTGAATTGGAGACGGACTAAAAGCCAAGTGCTAAAAAATTACTGAGACAGCAGAGAAGAGTTAAATAAGCTTTAAACTAGATTAGATAATAAAATATTAATATGTCTCGAAAATCCAAACGTTCTTATTATGGACTGTAACATAGCATTACATCAGAACATTTATATCCACTGCCTAGTTATTGCCTAGGGTTTTTTCGTTTGATTCATGGCATTATCATACAAGATGCCAAATGTAGAAAAGTATATATATATAGAGAGAGAGAGAGAGAGAGAATTTGGGAAGACTATTTTAAAGAAATTGGGCTTTCGAATAAGATAGTTATTTCTTGTTTCCGATAGTTCCTATCTAAGATAAGTTGTACACATCTTTCGATATCGTATCTTTCTGCCTGAAAGATGCCGATTGGTTTGGGGTTCTTAGTTTCAGACCCAAATATTCATATCCCTGTTCCTGGTTTGGTTTTGGTTTGGTTGGAAGCATCAGCATACCACGTTATGGTATGGTCTTTTAAATTTCGTTTCATCACTAGAGAAGGGGAAGAAGTAATTGAACAACCGTAGACAAAATAATGTTCACTAAGTAAACGACTAGTAGAACAAACTCTAAGTTAAAGATCTCATTCTTTCTTCACCTATTAAACTTTACCTTATAATTTAATCTATCTTACACATCGACAATCGACATTGCCCCCAGCCGTCAGTCATCGTTCTTGGAACAGGTTTCTTATAGAAAACCATATATTCATTCAATTTATTTATCAGTCTCTCACCATTCACTTTATTATTAGTCATTAGTGTGTGCTTGCGGCGCGAGTATGTATGTTCGTATCGACTGTAACGCGATTCAGCGTAATGCTTATGTACACAAACCAATTCTAAGCGCATATTATTTGTGACAAATTTACGCTGATTTCGAATGGGATTTATGAAAAAAATGTCGTGTGAAAACTTGGTGCGACTGATGTGTTAAAAAGTTGTTGTGATTGGTGGATTTTTATAAGGCAATAATTATTATAGTAGAAGTCATTAGCAATCATTAGTAAGGAAAAGGTGAATAACTAAATAAAGGTAAATAGAAGTCCGAAATAAAGTAATAGTATATTACATATAAATCTCGAGACAATAATAAAAACTTTCCTCTGAGGTTTGTATACTATTTTATTTACAACCACATCATTAATTGAAAAATAGGGACAGTATTTTATTTTGAAAAAAAAATATGCGTAAATTTGTCGTTTTTTCTGTTTTGACATTTCCATATCTATAGTTACCGGTACCAGTGGTTGTTATGGCGCAAACCTTCAACAGCAAAATAAACAACCAAGTGACAGTTTTTGAATTTCCCGTTCGCTTTTTCAAATTTATATAACATAGAAAGCCAGAATGTTGTCGGAAAGTTCTGATAATGAAGACTACTTTAATATTGGTACTCCACCAGAACTTACAGAAGCTGCAAAAAGAGCAGATGCCAGTTTCATCATCATCATCATCATGTAGCCGTCGTTGTCCACTGCTGAACGTAGGCCTCCTCCATATTTCTCCATGTCTCTCGATTTTGGGCCGTCATCATCCAATTTCCAGCAATCCGCTTTACATCATCGGTCCAGTTTAGTCCAATAGTTTCTGAAAAATAAAATTAATTTTTTTAAAAATGTCCGATTAAATGAATATCTCCGAAACTAAAATTTCAAAAAAATTCGTAATATATCTAGAAATTCATTTACCCACTAGTAGATATAAAAAGCATTTTTGGTAAACTCTGTCTCTAATAGTTTCTGAAAAATAAAATTAATTTTTTTAAAAATGTTCGATTAAATGATTATCTCCGAAACTAAAGTTACAAAAAAATTCGTAATATATCTAGAAATTCATATACCCACTAGTAGTTATAAAAAGCATTTTTGGTAAACTCTGTCTCTAATAGTTTCTGAAAAATAAAATTCATTTTTTTAAAAATGTCCGATTAAATGAATATCTCCGAAACTAAAGTTCCAAAAAAATTCGGGATATATCTAGAAATTCATTTACCCACTAGTAGTTATAAAAATCATTTTTGGTAAACTCTGTCTCTAATAGTTTCTGAAAAATAAAATTAATTTTTTTAAAAAGGTCCGATTAAATTTATATCTCCGAAACTAAAGTTCCAAAAAAATTCGTAATATATCTAGAAATTCATTTACCCACTAGTAGTTATAAAAAGCATTTTTGGTAAACTCTATCTCTAATAGTTTCTGAAAAATAAAATTAACTTTTTTAAAAATGTCCGATTAAATGAATATCTTCGAAATTAAAGTTCCAAGAAATGTCGTAATATATCTACAAATTCATTTACCCAGTAGTAGATATAAAAAGCATTTTTGGTAAACTCTGTCTTAAATAGTTTCTGAAAAATAAAATTAATTTTTTTAAAAAGGTCCGATTAAATTTATATCTCCGAAACTAAAGTTTAGTAGTTTTTTTGTCTCAATTTTGTTTTTTTGTCTGATAGTGTTATTAGGAATTTTGTCTCTTTTAGTTATTCCAAGCATGGCTCTCTCCATGGCTCTCTGGGCTACTCTTAAATTTTCTGCTGACTTTTTCGTTAATGTTAGAGTTTCCGCTCCATATGTAATTACCGGCAAGACGCATTGTTCATAAACTTTCCTCTTCAAGCATATGGGTATATCACTTTTAAAGGTCTCCCGCAGTTTGCGAAAAGCAGCCCAACCCAAACCTATTCTGCTCTGTATCTCGTGTGTTTGGTTGTTCTTTCCGATTTGTAATTCGTGCCCGAGATATTTGTATATATGTGTTTCTTTTATGTCGGCGTCACCTATTCTGATGTTCTGTGTCAGCACTAAGTTTGTCATTATTTGCGTTTTACTCGTATTTATCCGGAGACGGAGTTTTAATGAGGCCTGCACTAATTCTTCGAGCATCTGCTTTGAATCTTCGATGTTATCTGAGACAAGGACGATGTCATCTGCGAATCTGAGATGTGTCAACATTTCACCATCGTGTTGTTTTGGATGTCACGAGCTTGTCTCCCCCAGAATCCATGAGACTGACTGATATGTTATCAGTGTGAGATTTTGGACGTATCGTCCTACTCACCTGGGGTATTTATTTTAGTTTGTGACATTTCATATTTAGTGGAGGGTTTTGGCATTAAAACGCCGCGCTTGCCTTGCGTGTTGGCGAGTTTTGTGGGAAATGCATTTCCGCAATTTCTCTGATATGGTTGTGGGGTTATCCCGCCCCTTACTCGGTCGCCCGAGCCTCGTCTGTTATCTAGCAGGGGATACCTGGGTAGTTTTAATCTACCCCCTCGTGCAGGTGAGGTTGACTTTTGGATCGCTTGATGTTAAAGTTGTTGAGTCCGATCACTTATCCCCCGATGCCAGTTTACTTTAAGAGAAAGGTAGGGGGCGATATGAAATAACATTGAAAGTATACGAAAAATGGTGTGCCGAAAGAAATGCTAAGAATATTGCTTCGGAGACAGTCTTGATGGCAGGGCAAGGCAGAAAAAGCCATCTACTTTTTGGGCTACGTAGGTACAGCATGATACGGACAATGCTAGAATTAAGGGAAAAGACTGACATATGAAAATATCACAAACTCGTCGGCTTTTAAAAACGCCAGAATGTAGGTTTTAAGCCAAAGAAGTCTAGCATTTTTACCAGGCAAAACTTGGAGGATTTTCTAACGAAAGCACCTCAAGAATTCCTTCCTATTAAAGTAAGTTTTTTTAAGTGTCTTCTTTTTCTGGTTTAAATGTAATTTTAATGCATGTAATTAAAATCTTCAATTATTATTGTTAATATTCTTGTTTATATTTGTTGATGTTAGATAAGTAATTAATAAAGATATTACAAGAAATGTAGATAATTTGACACTTTCAAATTTTTTAAATGTCAGTAATGTCAGTATTACGTATGTGGTTATAAATAAAAGTTTGAAAACTGTCAAATAAATCATTAATTTATTTGGCTAATACTTAACACTTTCAAATAAATTAGTGTAGTTTTTTTACTACATATTTTATCTACACACTGTATGTGTTTCTTTGTTTTGTTTTATTTGTTTTATACCGCATGATCGAAAAAAACATGCGTCTAAGACTGTTGGGGGACGAAGAATCGATAATAATGTTGGCGAGGTCGGTTCCTAAACTAAATTTACTAAAAATTAACGTAAACTTGTAAACATTAACACTAATTATACAGGGGTTATCACTGGAATATTTTTCTAAAAAATACATGTGCGCCACTGACTTTCTTTTTTCTGTTAGCAAAATTGTATTATAGGCCTATTAAAAGTTGTCCTTTGATATTTTGAGCAATTTTATTCATTTGCTTTAATCCAAGTCTAATAAAAACCTTAAATTTTCTTTAATATCATTAACTGACTAACGTGTCAAGTAAGTACTATGTGATTTCTCATCAAAAAAATATAAAAAAAATCCTATAAACATGGGTGCGGAAATGCATGGTTTTAAGTTACAATTTTGGCACAAAATACTCCACAATAAGACACCAATTAGAGAATTTTACAATAAAACATTCAAAAAATTAGCTTTAAAATATTTCCAAGGAACTTCTTTCACTCATCTTTATTTTGTACACAATGGAAGTAATTTCTCTCGAATCTCTAATTTAATTAAAATGATATATTAACAGTAGACGTGTTTATGGCCATTTAAGCAACTGGCTCAATTTCTAAACCCTCCGCCATACAAAATAAAATAGGAGCTTAAATTAGGTGAAGAGAAAGTAATGATATGTAACGAAGATGAATTTAATTTTATAGTAAATTATGAGAATTTATTGCACTATTATTAAATAGTTGAATTTTTGGTGTATTTCATTCAAAGAAAGTAGTTTAGACATTTCAGACAACTTTTACTAATTTATAATTATATTATTAATAATAATAGTGAGAGGATATCGAAATTTTTGTGAAGGTTAATGTTGCAAAATAGTCTTGAAACTAAATTAATTAATATTATAATGCTTTCTTTGAGAAAATATGAGATATGAGAGAATTTGAACCTGTTTTGTTTTCATTGGTAGTGAAATTTATTTGTTCCTTTTAATTGGTTTTGTATTGTAGAATAAATTTAATAACTTTATGAGTTGAACTGGTGAGAAAAAGTCATGTGATTTATTTCACTTTCTACGATATAATGGTATTATTAATATATATATATATATATAAAATTGGTGATTGATAAAATTACCTATCAAATGATGTATATAAAAAGGTGATTATATTAGTTTACAGTAAAATATTTTTTTGTTTTGAAAATTTGTGAAAAATAAGAAAAAAGTAAAAGGTATTTTATCAAATAAAAATGACATTATTTGAAAAATACACACTTAATATAGATATACAATCAACAACAATGAAGGACGAAGAATAGTTATAAACAAAAGTACTAAAATGGCATTGTGGTATAATGAATATATTTTTTTGTTTTTGCGAATTGTTACACAATTTATGCATTATGAATTCTATACCTAGGAATTTGCTTTATTTAATTTAAATTGCAATAGGTAGGTAATAATAATTATTACTTTCTAGCATGGCTTTAATTATTGTTCTAGTTAGTCTCTTGTCGATATTTTAATTGTACTGTTTTTGTGGATATTTCAGAAATTATTCTTATGAATTATGTAACTACGGATAAAGGTACGGATAAAGATAAATTTATGCATATTTCCTATATAGGTGTACCGGGTGGTTTGAATTTATTTTAGCATTAAATTATACATTTTTTAAATAAAAACTATGTTAAGTTTCGGATGTAAAAAGTTAAAAACAAATATTCCACAACATATAAAACAGTTTCATTTTTAAACTAAAACAGTCACTTTGATTTTAAATTATTTATTCTTATTTTTACTATTATAAAAATGTTTTAAAAGAAATACAAAACTAGAATATACACGCCTTATTGTCTGTGGTTAAACAATTTGAATTGATTAAATAAGCAGAATTTTAGAAAGTTGGTTTGGTTGGTGAATTATGAATAAAAGGCCACATAGAAAAGCATGTTGGTTTTACGCACTGTTTAACTAAATGAT